TTTACTTATGTTTGAAACTCTATCATAATCTGTAATCTTTGCATAGATTTTACTGGAGATTTACACAATTGTATGAGCTTCTTTTTCATTCATACTGCCTCTCTGGGCATCATTTTATGTTAGTATGGCTAGACTGGATGACACTAGCACCTAGCATTTATTATAAGTACGACGTGATCATTAACATTAATCTATCAAAGCAAGAAACTCTTTCACTGCTTTTGCTAGTGAACAGTAGTGTGAGGAAGGGAAAGTACAAAGTGTAAAATTATGTTTCTCCAACTTTTGAAAGACAAATAAAAAACAATGGAGTTAATAAATACATTTAGCACGACATAGTAGATTCCAAATGAACAGCATGAATTACTGGGTGGATATTTGCAGTAGGGATTAAGATAGTTTGTTGCTAATATCTGAAAAGCAATGTCATGGGAAACACTTCATGCTTAGTGTTATTATTTGCTTGTTGTTATTTTTTCTGTCTCCGTGGACACTGTCCCTCAAGCTTCCTTTTCCAGTTTCAAAACTCATGCATGTGTTTTATATCCCTCAGTGTTTTGTTTATATTCCTGGCCCGGCACTTTCAATTCACTGAATTAGGCCCCTTGAGCCACCAGCAGAGTATAAACAAACATTAAGTAGCTTATGCTAGGTCAAATGTAGGTACAAACCGTACCAGAGAGTTTTAAAGCATTTAATATTCTTTGAACTTTTTAAGTATTTGCTTCTTTCTTCCTTCTTGTCGTGAAAGAAACATACTCATTCTAAGGAAAATAGAAAACTTTAGATGAAAACATTGATAATAGAAAGCAAGTTCGTGTAATGCAAAGTCAAGAGCAACTATTTTCAGGAACACCGGTTTCTCTGGATTATATCATGGCAGGTGCTAACATTTTTTTGTATTCCCTCCATTCTGAGTGTTAATGAGCTTTTGTGAAATTCAGAGGTAAGTTCACATTTAAGGGTTTATAGAAGTTTCCTGAATTTTATCATTGATTCATTATTCATCACCTAAATGCTTAACATTTAATCAAATTTAATGGGATATACCACAGTCATATTTTGAAACAGGATACATTAAAAAGTTTAAAAAGAGGTTACTATAGGTTTACTCATTCTTGGTTAAATTCATTCTTGACTATGTAATCAAGGGATTGTTAACTCTGAGTATTTCCAATTGAAGATAGGCTATGTCATCCGTTGATCAGACACTAGACTTTAATTTCAGGTAGTCTGAGATAATACTTGACATTTGCTGACTACATGAATTTGTAAGGCATGTAATCTTCATTGCGGAGTCAAGACACATGGGCAGCGTGTGAGAGGGGCCAAATGAAGTAAAATACACAGGCCTCGGTATGTCATCATTCCTGAGTCACATTCTCCAGGAAAACAACCACCAAAATAATTATGAAGAACAGTATAATATCATTCTGATAAACAATCCTTTCAACTATTCAATGCGTTCTCGGGCAAATCTTTGTTTCATTCAGGTTAAAAGTTCTTAAAGGAACCTGTGTCAAGGCCCAAAAGTTAGAGTGATTGATCAGTGCCAAAAGTAAACTGAAAGAATTGTAAATGAACTTGTTCTCCACAGAGTTAGACAATTTTTCTTTTCTTTAATGTACTAACTTTAACCCTGAACCACTCTTTAAATCCCTAAATTAGAAAGAAAGAGGATGACATAATCAGAGAAGCACATGGCTTTGGAGATTATTTTATTTTGATCTCTGATGAGTTTTAACTGGAAGAAGAGAGAATTAAGTTAACATAGAAAATGCTGGAAATATGGGCTTTCAAATTCATTACATTACTAAGGAGTATCTCCACCCAGTTCAACATAAAACACATTGTTAAAAGCCACAACTGCATCAGTCTTTTATCTCAGCTCCCAAAGAGATATTTTTTGGTTCTCTAACTGAATGTATTTTTTTTTATTAAAAAGTTTATTTTTACATCATTTTGCACATTTTTTTTTCATCTCAATTGTAATCCCCACGGGTTTCCCATCACCAAATCACCCCTGTGCCACCACCATAGTCCCGTGCATGAATGTATTTTTTATTAGAGTCTTTTTCTCACCTTGAGAGTCAAATAAATTTTCAGTGTCTACTTTATCTAAAGGCTTATTGTCAAGACGAACTTGAGGCAAAGGATTTTGAAGGGCAGGACAGAGGGACATTTTCAGAAAATGCTTGAAAATACTTATAGCCTCCTTATTCAATAAGTATGAAGTACTTTTCTTAATTTCACCTTGAATTGCACATGAAGACTTGTCTCAGAGTCTTAGAAGGCAAGAACTAATTTTAGTGAAATGGGAGAAGGAAAAAAAAGATAAGCAACATTTTCCAGGGAAGAATATGGCTTGTTTTTTAGACTAAAAAGCTAAGGAGATGAGTTCAGTGGTTGGAAACATACTTTATACCTTAATGAATATATCCTTAGGGCTGAAGCAATCATGTGTACCACACTGACCATTGAAATTTATTTTTCTAAACAATTTGATGAATAAAATGTATGAATGAATGGGAAAAAACAGTCTTAGACTTTATTAATGTTAATACAACTCATTGACTTTTCATAAACATTTTCCTGTTCTATAAACAGTATAGCAGACCACCCTCCACGCCCTCTGAGACCATCACCTGCTAGAGTTTCTTTAAGCCTATTTCTCTGGTCCTAGAAAACTAACTATACCAGTGTCCACTCTCAGTATTGCTCCCATGGGCCCACCCAGTATTTACTGATATACCCTCCTTCACTTTGCTTCCTGTGTTCGTTGGCCGTTTTAATCCGTAGCCAAAAATAGTAAACAGTGGTATTAGTATTCAGAAAAGTGTTAAAATTAGCAGAAAACATAGAGAAAACTATGAAAAAAGTTGAAGTAAGTTTCAACATACAGTACAATGATGCATTATTCATTATAGAATGGTAAACATACAAAAATATTTTTAAACTGGATTTCCAAGGACAGTATGTTACTGTCAAAATTTCATTGTTGAGTTTGAGTTCAAATCTTGTCTCTTTGATGAGAATACAATTGGTGTCTTTAGCTGCTATGAAAAACTAGTGACTTCAATGAAATGCATGCCAAAAATAATAAGGGTTAATATTACTAACGAGGAACAGAGAAAACAAAGCGACCATTAGCAGCAGTTTTGGCAAACAGCGAACAACTAACATGTCTCACATGTGGTGATCAAGTTTTAGCTGAATTTGAAAGTCGTGGATGGTTTGTGGAGCTGAAGAGGTTGGTTGGTGACCGGGCGAGGAAAGCTGACATGCCAGCTGGGCGCATCAGTGTCCTGCAGACAAAAATGGAAGGACAGGGCTGATGCTTCTTTGTCTACAGGGCCTGGCTGGCATTGTCCAGACAGTGGGTTTTACCCCATTTTTTGCTAGTTACTGTTCCTGTGTGATTCACTTGGTGTTAACTTTATTAATTTCTATTTCTTTTAGATGTAGCTTTTTACACAGAACTCCATCTTAATCCCAAAGCTTCTGCTCTTATTATTTCCTTACTTCCAGTAACATTGGGTCTTGTTTGTTCCTCTCTTTAAAGTTGCCTTAGGTAGATCAATGGTTTTTTTGGGATTTTTCTTTGTTTTCACATTGGGGGAACATTGACTTACTATATTGCTTATGATCGAGAGGTATAGACCACAGCTCGTCAGATATCTGTTACCAAACCTTCTTAATGTGGGTCTATAATGTAGTTATCGTCCCTTTTTAGACTGATTAAGATTCAGGTGGTTCAAATTTTGGTTAATGAAGGCATTAGTTTATGTCCAGTTTTTGGCTCTGGGCATGCATACGCAGGTATTTCGCGCATCATAACTTCAGACTCTTAAATGATAGTCTCTTTATGACAACACTCAGGCGCTGCAACCCGGCTCTCCCTGATGGGTTGGGCTCAGATGTTCGAGTTTAGGAGCCATAGCCTGAAGCCAGTAGTCGCCATTTTGCTTATCTCTAGCAGCGCACCTGTGTCCTGCACATTGACTCTTTTTACCCATCCCAAGTGTGGTACCCAGTTTTTAAAACCCCCCAAAATCAGTGTGTGCTTGAGAGTCAACAGCACAGAGGGTCCACACAGCTACCCTCCCTCATGGCACGTATATCCTTACGATCACTTCAAGGCAGCCAACTACTGTCTTTCTACTGCTTTCTGCTCCGCTATTGTTCTGATTGTATGTGATCATCTTCTATTTATCGTTCGGGGATCCCCCGTTCTATTGTTGTTTGGCTGTGATTTTCAGGATAGGCCACCCCAGAGCCCTTTCACTCTGCCACCCTCTCTCTGGATCAACGGACTCTCTTATCATGCCTCTGAGGGAGGGAAGTGCTTCAACATAATAATGATTATTTGATGAACTATATTACTATTATTTTTTTTTTAGAAAGGGAAATAGGTTGTATAAGAACAAAGTTGAGAAAAATGACATCCAGATAATCGGAAACATCATAAAATATCGCCAGGGATTCAAATATATTCCACCTCACTTCGAAGCATCCTATCCCATGTTAATGCCTACCTCCTGCTTCCCTCTGTTCCTAACTGTGTTGCTGGTGACAATGACTTTAGTGTTTTGAATGTCAATGAAACACCAGTAGCAGAAATTGAAAAGCTATTACCAACAGTTGATAGATGATTAAAGACAAGAGTCCCTTAAAAATAAAGTATCTTTCCCCTTTTTTTTGAGGATTTTCAGTGTAACACATAGGGCTTGAAACTATAACACAAAGATGGTTCCTTTTGGGAAGCTATCTTGAGGTCACATCTTTGAAAGGCAGTATCGGGAGCAGAGAAGACTGGGAATAAATCCAGCTCTACCACTTCAAGCTTTTCAATCTGTCTTGACCAAAGAGTTTCCACCTGTAAAATATTAATTCCAAGTTCTGACTCCACACATGAACATTAGTAATCTACTCTTCAAGTGTCTTCTTTGTGTTTTCTTCTATAGGTCCCCCAGGAAAAAAAAAAATTAAGCGACCGAAGAATGATAAACCATACAGAAATAACAGAGTTCATCCTCATAGGCCTGTCAGATGACCCGAAGTTTCAGGCTGTGATCTTCATCTTTCTGTTCATCACCTACATGCTCAGCATCACGGGAAATCTGACCATCATCACCCTCACTCTGCTGGACTCCCACCTTCAGACCCCCATGTATTTCTTCCTCAGGAATTTCTCCTTACTAGAAGTTTCATTCACAACTGTCAGCATACCGAAGTTCCTGTGCACCATTATTTCTGGAGATAAAACCATTTCTTTTAATGCTTGCATTGCTCAGTTATTCTTTTTCATTCTCTTAGGAGTGACTGAATTTTACCTTCTGGCCGCCATGTCCTATGACCGCTATATCGCCATCTGCAAGCCTCTGCACTACATGACAATCATGAATCGCAAAGTCTGTATCCTCCTCGTCTTCTCTTCCTGGCTAATTTCCTTCTTAATCATATTTCCTGCACTCATGTTGCTCTTGAATCTTGATTACTGTAAGTCTAATATTATTGACCACTTTACCTGTGACTATTTCCCCCTACTACAACTTTCTTGCTCAGACACAAAGTTTCTAGAAATGATGGGCTTCTCCTGTGCTGTCTTTACTTTAATGTTCACATTGGCACTGATAATTCTGTCCTACATATATATAATCAGGACAATTTTAAGAATTCCTTCTACTAGTCAGAGGACAAAGGCCTTCTCCACATGCTCATCACACATGATTGTCATCTCCATCTCCTATGGAAGCTGCATTTTTATGTACATCAAACCCTCAGCACAAGAAAGGATGTCCCTGAGCAAGGGGGTTGCTGTGCTGAATACCTCAGTAGCTCCCATGCTGAACCCCTTTATTTATAGCTTGAGAAATCAACAGGTGAAGCGAGCCTTCATGGACATGGCAAGGAAGACTTTCTTCCTCAAGCAAATGAAATGATGTCTCACGGGGAGACATCACAGAGCAGTTTTTAACAGACAAACATGGACTCTTAGTAGCGATTTCAAATAAGAATGGTTCCCCTGTTATTTTTTCCTCTTTCTAGAATCTACAGAAGCACATTTGTTTTCTAGAATGCTCATTGTAAGTCACTTTTCTCTTGTTTTTCTAATGTTTTTTTTTCTGGATATTGTGTTAGTTGCTACTCCTGAAATAGTAATTCTGTTAAAAAAGTAAAATAGTATTTTGAGTTTCATGTAACAATATCTCTGAGTTGAAGAAACTATAAATTTGTATATATTTTGATTATTATACACAGAAAATATAATCTTATGATTTTGATTTTGTTTACTAGAAATTCTTTTTACATTCTTGCAGTTCTAGAAAAAAATAAATGACAATGTATTAAAAAATGTGAATGTGCTCATTTAAAAAACAAAGCATTCCTTGCTGCTCACTTTTATAGGATATGGCTATATAATTTTTCTATTGGTAAAGTGCATGGAATAATAATATATAATTTTATTATAAAAAATGAACTCTGGTCATTTTCAACGACATGGGATGAGCTGGAGTGGATTATGAACTAAGTGAGGAAGGAAATGACAAAGCCAGATGCTTGCACGCACATGGAACACAGGGAAGAAAGAAGGCAGACGCACTGGTAACCCTGAGCCAACGCAAGCCCTAGAAGTAAGGAAAAGGGGGTGCAGGCGGGGAGCGGAGGTAAAGGGCTGTGTGCTGTGGGGCTACTTTGGGGAAATATATCCGAAAAGATGGGCACTTGTCCCTTAAGTCACACCCAGTGTTGTAAACCAATTCTGTATTGATAAAGAGAAAAACATTTTTGGAAAAGATAAGACATCGATAAATACATAATATTGCACTAACCAGAGTTTTAAATAAAGACTTTTTGTATTTCTAATTAGATCATAAATATGATAAATAAAAGTCTAAGATAAGCAATAAGCTGGACAAAATTAACACTGCAATTAAGTTCAATGTTTGTAATATGTATTAAATCAGATAATATTCCTAATAGCATTTTTGAAACTGTCAAAGCAATGCATCGATGAGTATAGTATTTAAAATTTTCAAAGCCTTTTTTCTTAATGACCAGCTACTAACAAAGCTAAATGATAAATAACAAAATCAGTGTGTGTATATATGTATACACATATATACCCATGCATATACAAAATACTCAAGTCAATGAAATATCAACTGGATTACAAATTGTACTTTTATAAGAAAGTAGCCTTCACAACTTTTTTCATTACTTATGAAATATTAAGTAATTATGATTAATGTAAGTAATTATTTGTAGAAGTCAACATTTTGAGTCCTCTGTGGGAAACAGAATTGTAAGTGTTCTCAAGGGAGATTCACTGTAGACAAGACAGTGGAGGCTACTGAGAAACCCAAGCATCGCTTCCATATTCCCTCGCGGTCTACTACACAGCAGAGATGTGGTCTGGACTTTGCCTTGTTCACAGGAAATCAAGGTACAGCAAGCTTCGTGAGTCAAAACAAGTAGACTTCAAAACTTTGAGCTGTGGAAGCAACAAGAGGGAGGCCAGATACTAGTTTAAAGTTTTTAATACTCATACCGCCAAAAATGATAACATCCCTCTCAATTCACTCTTAAAATACTGCTTTCTTGAACTCTTAGGTAAATATTCCTGAAAAGGATTATAGTATATTTCCAAATCCCCTTAAGTTTTCTGCATTCCATGTTTGTTTCCTGAAAGATTTCCTTTGAGCAATCATAAAATAGAGAAAAGATAAAATAAAATTTGATTAGTGTGGATTTTGCTAGAGTCAGGCAGTGATCTTACATCCTACTCTTCAGAGCAGAAATCTGGTATATAAAATGAAGAGGAAAAACCTCTCACAATGTAACACATAAGTGTGGATCTGAACTGTAAAGGGACAAAACACTTTTTTCATATAATGAAATGGCTTAGAAGAAGGAGTCTCAGATGGAAAAAGCACTGGGCAATGGTCCAGGAGGCAGAGCTGCTGAGACAAGAGGCAGGTAGGTATTTTCCAATTTGTGCATCCGTACACAGGGAAACTAGATAAATACTGTATGCTCCTTTCAACTAAAAAACAAAAATGTGTCTCCATATTCATTTCTAGCAAATCACAGGTAGCAAATATCAGTGATTGCAATGGATTTATCAGACAAACCAATAGTGTTTTCTATTTGTTAAATAAAGTTATCAGATATATATTCTATATTACATACTAGTATGGAGTATTACAATATACGCTATGAAATATATTTAGCAAGCTCTCATATTATAAGTTTGATATTTTACCCATTGTATTAATATAAATTATTAAATTTAATTTTGTATATGAATTTTAAATTTATAGTTATAAATTTTCATATAAACTTAAACTATATAACTTTGAAAATTTATAACTATAAATATCAAAACTTATTAAATTAATTTTAATAAGTAATTAAAAGAAAATTTTATTTGCTAAGAGATCATAAATTGAAGTCTTATGTTATGAAAAGCATAATGGGTTACTTTAGTTATCTAAGCTTCAGTTTTTACCTTTTGATGAAATTAAGATCCCCTATTTCTGTTTTCAGGTGGTAGTATTCTCTAAGGAATACATGGCCGAAAAGAAAGAACAATTCATATTCTTTCTGATTGTTTCATCAAAATTGTAATGATTTACATAAATGGGACAAAGAGGAGATACTGATTTTACTTCTCATCTCTCGGTGATGTGACCTATTGTATGAAGATTTTCTAAATTCTCTTGCTAGACTTTAAGTAAGAAACCAGTAAGTTAAATAGGACTCACAAGTATGCATTCAGATACAATGCAGACAAGAGGGATTAAAAGACCACACAATGGACGTGGATCACAGATCACAGAAAACGCCTCAGAATTGTGGCAATGGTCATGATGAATTGACTTCCATGTATGCCCTTTAATACTTTTTCTACCTAAATATCTTTCAAAAGAAGAAAAGAGACGAGAAAGAGGAGAGAGAGGGGAGAGAAGTGAGAGGAGTGAGGGAGAGAGAAAGGAGGTGGGGGGTGGAAGAGAGAGATGAACCACACCATGATCACAGAGTTTGTCCTCCTAGGGCTTTCTGATGATCCCCGCCTTCAAGGTGTGATTTTCTTCTTTTTAATGATCACGTATATTTTAAGTGTCGCTGGAAACCTGACCATCATCACCCTCACCTTGCTGGATTCCCATCTTCAGACGCCTATGTATTTCTTCCTACGGAATTTCTCTTTCTTAGAAATCTCATTTACGACTGTATGCATCCCTAGATTTCTCAGGGCAATTATCACGAGGGATAAGACTATTTCCTACAACAACTGTGCAGCCCAGTTGTTTTTCTTTATCTTCATGGGGGTGACTGAATTCTACCTCCTAACCGCCATGTCCTACGACCGCTACGTGGCCATCTGCAGGCCCCTGCACTACACCACCAGCATGAGCAAGAGGCTGTGCGCCTGGCTGGTGGCCTGCGCCTGGGCGGGCGGCTTCCTGACGGTCTTCCCACCCATCGTGCTTCTGTTCCAGCAGGATTACTGCGCTTCCAACGTCATTGACCACTTTTCGTGTGACTTTTTCCCCATTTTACAGCTCTCTTGCTCAGATACGTGGCTCCTCGAAGTGATTGGATTTTACCTTGCTTTGGTTACTCTGCTCTCCACTCTGGCGTTGGTGATTTTGTCTTATATCTACATCATCAGAACTATTTTGAGATTCCCATCTGCCAGTCAGAGAAAAAAGGCTTTCTCCACCTGCTCCTCCCACATGATTGTCATTTCCATCTCCTATGGCAGCTGCATCTTCATGTATGCTAATCCCTCCGCAAAAGAAAAGGCCTCACTGACAAAAGGGGTGGCCATTCTCAATACCTCTGTCGCCCCCATGCTGAACCCCTTCATTTACAGCCTGAGAAACCAGCAAGTGAAACAAGCCTTCAGAGATGTGCTCCATAAAGTGGTACTTTCCACAAGTAAATGAAATTGCTTTGACCGAAACAAGCACTCCAAAGAATAGCATGTTGAAATTCGTAAATATCTAGATAACTGTGCTTTTCTTATTCTCTTTACATACCCTATTAGGGTTAACTTCATATTGTCCAGCCTATTTCTTCCACTCTCATGTCCTGGTTGCTCCGGGGCACTTTTTATAGACTTATTTAAAAATACAGCTTATTTTCTGGAAATAAAGTGAATTTCGTTAAGACGCGTTCTATAACACAATGGAAAGAGTTGTTTTACGTCTATGATTTCGGTCCCTTGAAGGCATGTCACATTGTACTTCGAAAGTAGAGTTTTAAAATTAGTGTAGTATTTCTTGACATCTAAAGAATTACATGTTCTCTATTACTGTATATTAAATTCAATCCTGAGAGGTATTATGTACAAGTTCATTGAACTTATATGTAGAATTATATCATTCATAAAATTTAATGCATACTTTCAAGATAAATGCCTATCATGGTATTAAGTATTATTTATAAAATGCCTGTGTTCTTTATATTTTTTAAGGAAAGCTTTATATTTTTGGAGAGGACTTTTGGAGGTATTTATTTTACTGTTTCTTCAATAACCAAACCGGATGTGTAGAGGGCAAGACCATCCCCACCGAGCCCACCTGGAGATCGCAGGGGGATCTCAAACCTTTTCTGAAATTGTGTTTTCTCAGATTTACATTTGGAGATACCAAAATAGAAAATGTCCACCCTCCCCTTTTTATTTTGCTGATGGAGTTTATGATCTTGCTCCCTGTTTCTGCCTGGGTAAGGCAGGTTCTTGAAGGAGAAGCGTATCTCCCAGTTCTTTCTTGTTCTCAGCGGGACCCAAGCAGCTACTATGTCAGGTGCAACAACAAACTCAAGATTGGTTAGAGCAACAGGTGTATTCACTGCCTGCTCTTCTGTCTGGTTGTTTCTGTGGGTTTCCACCTCTCCCTTACTTTGCCCTCATGTTCTTCCGATCTGTACACCTCATCACTAGAACTTTTATGATATGAATCATAGTCGTTTTAAGTTTCCATTTTGATAATGTTAGCATTCCAATCACACCTGTTTCTAAATCTTTCTGTCTTTTCAAATATTTTTTTTATTTTTGCCTTTTCATATTACTTGTACATTTTTTCTTGACAGCCAGACATGATGTGCTAGGTAAAGGGAGTAGTACAAATAGGAATTTAGAAAGGTCGTTGTTCGGATGGGTGAGGAGCAATCTTCTATAGTCTGAGGGTTAGGTCTGGGTCTAAGTGAGCCTGTTTCTGAACTGTGAACTGCACGATTTTTTTTTCTCATTCTCTCCACTTAGTGGATCAGGAGGTTAGAGAGGGTATTTCTATTCGTCTACCTGGAAAGCTAGAGAACACTGGAGTTGACTCAGGTAGGTCAGTCTGATACCACCTCAACAGTAAAAACTCAGCTGACTAGATTTCCTTGAAGGCAGATCCTTTTAAGAACAAAGTGGTGTGTTTGGAAACTAGTCCTTTCTTACACTGCCTGATGTAAGCAGGGGGTAATTTGTCTCTGGAGTTACCTCCTGGTCAAGCTACTTAGAGAAAATCTCACAGTGTTGTTGGGGGCTCATCTAATCTTGGTCTCCATAGAGTTTTTAAATCCCTGGGTTGTTCATACTGAGTCTCAAGCAATTCATCAATTACAGTTCAGGTTTTCCTATCCAACCTTGGTTCCTAGAGATGTTTCTAATCATAAGACTAGACACAAGGCTAATGGGCAGTTAGACTATGACAAAGAAGTCAAAGATACACGTTGGAGGAAAGAAAATCTCTTTACCAAATTGTACTGTATAATTGGACAACTACATGCAAAAGCATGAAAATATACCAGTATTCCACACTATGCACGAATTTGGTAGTTGTTAAAATATTTACCAGAAGTCACTAATCCTCCTCAGTTAGAACATGACTGTCATGTAGTAGGCATTCAATAAATATTTTTAAATAGATAATAATTTGGCCCTCTCTGGTGGCGCAGTGGGTTAAAGCACAGCACTAAGAAACTAAAGCCACTTCAGCATGAGTTTGATTCCCACCCCAGAGGTGGCCCACATGGCACTGTAGTCCTCTCCTAACCCGCCCACTGCTCCCCTCAGCAGTGTACTTCATCAATCAGCTTGTTCTGCCCCCACTCTGTCTCTGGTGAATCCTCTCACCACCCCTGCCCCTCTGGCCTGTACCCTAGTTCAAAAAATAGATAATAATTTTCATTAATTTAGGATTATCCTACTCTTACAGAAATCAAAAAAATAACTAGTTTATACAACAACCATAGATAAAATTTATGTAACAATGTATAACACTGATAGCATAAATATAATTTTGAAATAAAATGTGTATTTTCTCATAGATAGGTAAATTTGTACCTTGGAGATAATTGGTTGCATTATTAAAAAATCAATTGTCAAAAAAAAACCCTATTGTCCAACTAGTTGTGAACAGCATTGCAACAGAGAACAATTAGTGTAAATTAAAAGTAAATTATTAGGTATACTAAAGAACCCATAGAGCTACCAGAAATTAGAAATAAAAAAATAATCTACTGATCAAGGAAGAAAAAGAGGGAGGTGATTCATCATACAAGGGCCCAAGAAACGATACCATAAAGAAGAAATGTGTCTAACAGGATTTTTTCAAGTGAAATGCAGTGCTTTTGAGATAATCTATTCCTCTGTAAAGGCAATAAAGGCTGCATTGCTTACAAATGACACAGGGGAGATGAGATATTTAATTAACTTCTTTCTGTTTCAAACTTACTGGTCACCTCATGAAGTTTTTGTTGCCTGCCTATTTATAAAAAAAAAAAAGAGAGAGAGAGAGAGATAATTTAATCATATAATAAATGTCTGGTAATCTGAAAAAAGATTGATATATGTTTATTATTGAAGTGTTTAAGAAACAAAGTGTGAAAAATAATTCACACTATTTTTTAATGCTGGGTATCTTGAGAACACCAATCTCCGTGGTGTCTTTTGTTTATTCATTTGGTGAATCCCCCTGTGCCGATCACAGTAGAGGAGATTAAATTGTGGCTGCTTGAACATAGCAATGCCCCTTCACAAAAGGGCACATCGTCACCACCAAGCTAATACAGACAATAACTTAGTCTTCATTTTAACTCCAACTCATTTCAATAGGTTCAATATCCTGGCAGCTCAAATTCTGAGAGAAACTCAGTTGAGAGATGCCCTTTTTGTAAACATTGAGGAATAGCTCCTAGAAACATTCTTCATTGTCACTATTTTGAACACTGGTTATAAATTTAAGAGGACAGAAGAAAAACAAAGACTTCCAAAGAACCATGAAGTTCTGTTTAAACACATTAAAGAAACCAAAAGAAATGAGTGACTAACACTGTCACATTTACCATAAAAGTAAGTATGCCTCTGATAGCTTATTTTAGAAAATTATCTTTAATAGTATTTATTTGTCATATAAATATATTCCTAACACAATGTAAATAATATCAAACACTGTAAATTATGTGATACATATAAGAAAATTTTAATCTGTCACTTAATAGTTTAATGAAATATTTTTATTTTTGTTCATTAAAACATTTTTCACTGATAAGTCTGATTTTGTGTTCTTGTCTAAATAGCTTTTAATAAACGTTTTTACTTAATCAATAGGAGGCCCCAGTTGCAATTTTGCAGAAGATTCAACTGATATGACTTCGTTATTACTGAGCAGAGTTGCTTTTTGTTTCTGTTTTGCAAAATGTGGGTTTTATACATATTGAATTATCACCCATCATATACAGGCCAAAAAAAATAGATTAAATTAATAGAAAGAGAACAAGTAATAGAAAGGAAAATATATCCCTCCCAGTAATTTTCAAAGTTAAATATTTTGAGTAAATTTATAACGCTAAATTAGCTGGCTAATCCAAGGAAATACTATTCCTTTTGAAAGCTCTGAAAAATGTTGAAAATAAATGAACCATAACAGCCCTAAGCATTTTAGCTGGAAATTCTAATGCATAACATTGGTATTAGATGCCAGCACATCTAAAGATTCATGGAAATAATATTTTAAACAACAAAACAAATTATATATAGCATCAAAGTTAGAAGCCAAAAAAAGGGGAAAATAATAAAAGTAAGCCTTATCTCTTGAAAACACACTTTGAATGTTGACCTATTCCATTTTATCATCCTTAAGAAAATTACAGGTGATAGTGTGGAAAAGCTTAATTCCATTTGGAATTATGTAAGAATACTACATTTTACAAAAATTTATAGTGCTTAAGAGAAATCCTGCTGTATATATGATAGAATAGCTTCATGGTAGACAGCACTTTTATAAACCCATGTAAAACTATTATAACATTTAGTGGTTGAACTAGAATCTACTGTAGTTCAGGCCTTGGCCTCAGATTGAAGACATCCTGCTACCTTAAACACCTCCACACACTCTCACCAGGGGCACATTATTTGACCAAAATGGACAGCTGGATTATCCCAAGAGATTAAGAAAATGTGAATGTGAAATGAGAAAAAAATCCTTATTCCAAAAAAATTACATAATAAAAAGACATATTTACATATTAGATAAAACATATTTTATATATATGAAGAAGAAAGCAAAATACAACAGTACTGAAAGAATATTTTGTATCTGGAGATAAGATCTCAGAATCTTAGTTGACGTAGTTTTAATCTCAGGGGTGTTAATCTTTTTCTTTGACCTCTGGAATGTATCGAGAGTGATATTACCCTAAAATATGTGAGAATACAATAAAGGAAATACGGAAACTATGAATTCGTATATGACAGTGTAGACAACATTAGTTTAAAGATTTTTGTTTCACTGTACAACAAAATCATTTTCCCTAAAAGCAAAAGTTAACACAGATTTTTTAATGTATGTGTTTGCATATGTGTATCTATGTGTCTGACCGCCGTGGCTGGTGTCACAGCTTTCCCATTTCTTCCTCTTTGATAGCTGAAACAAAGACTATTACCATAAAGAAG